CTGCACTCGGTCAGTGTTGTAGTACACACCTATATCAAGTAGCAGCAGCTCGGTTGGATGAGCTTGTAGGAATCTGACCATGTCATCCAATGCTGTTTCCAAATAACTCACGACGAATGTGTGGATGAGAAAGAAAGTCATTTTACCCGTCTTGTCATCTATGCCCTGAGACACACGAAGATCCAGGTATCGTGCTCCGTTCATGAGTTGATCATACACCGACTGTCCTGGCTGGGACAAGGCCCATCTCGTGGCGACCTCCTGAAATCCAGGGGCAAAGCGCTCATCCGAACTCGCCATAGCCTCGTTGGACGCTATGATCGTGAAATCTGGCGTTTGATAGGCACCTGTGTCGTGTGTGCCAGGAAAGCAGAACTGGTTGGGAGTTAATTTGGTCCTGGCACTGCAAGTAGCCATCCAGTTTTGATGTGGGTATTGAGCCATGATGACAGAACAACTTCGGATTTCATGCAACAGAAGCAAATTCAAGTCCAATTCGTACTAACACTTGTTTCCTGACAGCTGATACAAGGGAAACGCCGAATTCCTTTGCACATGAGTCTTACTGCCTATGGCGAGATCAGCATCGAAATCTATCTTGACCTGGAAAAGTAAAAGACAACAGGGCGAGAAAATCTTTCCTCTACAGGCGGAGAAGCTGGAGCACTGCGACTGACGTTCGGCAGGATTTAGGAGTACAATCAGCTAAAAAGGACACACAGCTAGCTGCTATGCTGCACTGACTCGTGAGTGCTGCTGACACAGTGACAGTCCAGTTTGTGAAGTCTGGCTGCCAAGTCAGTCCATCCGTCAGGTCAACTGATGCCTTCTTAGTTTTAGAAAAGCCAACTCTAAACAGAGTTCTCAAAAAGCTGAAACTGTAAAAGCGAAACTGTCCGAGTTTAGTACGTGACTTGAATGACCACGCTGCTCACTGCTCAGCGAGAAATGGCGTGATTGCTTTGGAGCGTAGATGATCTAAGTAATACCGGTAGTAGGTCTACGTAGATCTACACAGACTCTGGACTGTAGTGTAGTCTGTTTACATGTGTAGTGTGGTTCCTGAACATGACAGACTCAGTGGCCTGCTTCAGTGTTTGCCAGCAGGGACACTTCACTTGTATTTGTAAGTAATTCACTAATTGTGAGACTGTCCCTGTACTGCTGTAGCTGCGCCTACAAAAAACTAGCCCTTGCGTTACCTGGTTACGCTACGGCAGTACTGGATCAGGCATCACGACTATCACATGATCCATCCCCCCCCTCCTACTCGAAACAGGATACGGTGGCAGATTGTCGCAGGTAGTCGCATTGTGCTGTATCTCTTAATAATTTGCTGGCCAAAAATCCCATAATTATTATAGGATTTGAAAATGTATGACCTTTATGCTGTTGTTATTGGTCATCATGTCATGACCCATAATAACGGCATAATGGTTTTCATAGAAGCTGTAAATGTGTCTGAGGGATGAATGTTTACTTTTTAGATTCATACTAATCATAGGACATCATGAATATCCATTTTGAGCAAGAATTGGAACTTTGAGCAGCATTGTTCAGCTGCTGCCATGGAAAGGACTGAAGCAGTGAATGTGCAGAAGAACATTACAGGTGTGGCACGGGGTGGTTTCTTGACGACATATCGCATATGCCGTGGTGAAACTACCAGTTCCAATAAAATCTCAAATCCTATACTAGTGTATAGGATTGGAAAAAGAGGCCGGTACAGGCCTTAGTAATATTGCGCAAGGAGATGAGCCTGAGATGTTAGTATTTGAAAAAAATATCTTATTCAACTCTCGATATCTTCTAAGACCTAGCAAGGAAGAATTGGTCACAAGCTTCTTCCTATGCTCGTGCCACACTCATTTCGAGTTGAAAAATATGACCAAAATCCTATATAATTATAGGATCTAGCAAATTAAGAGATACATGTACGTAGTACGAGTACCAGTCAATGAAATCCGATACCGCGAATCAAGTAAATTTTTAAAGGATCTAATATTGACTGAGTAGATCTACGAGGTCAATAATATTATTGTAGGAAACAGAAGCCGAGTATTTTTGGAGAATAAGACCGAGGCGAAGCCGAGGTATAAAAAAAAGTTTTACCCAGGTTATACATGTGTTTCCTATACAGTGTAGGAAATAAAAACCACTAGGTACTTGGTCAGTACTATCATAGTAGTACTATGATAGTACTGACCAAGTACGAAGTCAATATTAGATTTATCACGACAAACAGTCCATATTTCAAATTCCAGAATGATAACCTCATGAATCCCGGTTTTATGATTGCATAACCGTTGCACCATCACCTACTCATATTGATCATACGACCATGTATGGGGCTATACAGTGGAGATGGGATGTAACGACACTCCTTCGGGAGAAAACAAAATGTCGCTGTAATCGATCTGTCACTAAACCCGACCTTCACATCTAGTAGGCATAAGCTGATAATGCCGGCAGAAAAATTGGCAGAATTCGGTACTTTTTCTGGTAAGTTTCATGCATGTTTGGTATGTGGATAAAGAAATGGAGCAGAATTCGAGGAATTGCCTGCCATAAGGTTTGTATGGTTCTGCCAATTTCACTGCTTTTCGAGCAGAATCTGCCACCTTTTCGAGCATAATCAGCCGGTGCCTAACATCTAGTATGCAATAGACAAAGGGTCTTGCATGGCTGTAGTTCAAGCCAAAAGTCATGCATTGCAACTACAGTCAGACCTCGCTTATCCGGTCCTCGTTTATCCGGTCCTCGTTTATCCGGTCCTCGTTTATCCGGTCCTCGTTTATCTGGATCCCTCGCCATCCGGAAGAAAATTGTTGGTTACCGATTTACAGCATATGCCATGCACATATACAGTGTGTGTGTTCGATCATCCGGTTCCCTCGCCTATCCGGATATTTTTCTGGAAAACGGTTGTGTGCGGTTAAGCGAGGTCTGACTGTACACCGCTGCACTGCAGCTACAACTAACTATTTAATACTTACTTTACTTACAAGTACAATGATCACGTGCAATGACCAGATTACCAAGCACGCGTGGAGTGACCCAGACTCCAGAGGTCCGGGCATGTGGCACAGACATGCCCCATGCATGCCAATCAGCCTGATACAAGAGGAAAGTCGATATTCGATGCATTTTCAGGTCTTCGGGCACCAACAAAGTGTCACTAAATTCGATCTGCCGTTATTTTTGTACAGAAATGACTTGCTAAACGACTTGGGCAACAGAAAATTGTCGCTAAACTCGATTTGTCGTTAAATACAAGTATATCCAAGGTCGTTATATCCAATCTCCACGGTACTGTATTACTGCATGCTGCTCGTGCACAACCCGGCAAAGCACAGTGACCATGCACTAGGCACCGCTCAACTGCGCAACCTATAACAGTCAAATACATTTTTTTAAGCAGTCAATATAGCCCTAAGGTGTGAAATATGCAGGAATATTTGACTGCTTAGGTATAGCGATAATTAATGGGAGTCAATACTAAGAGAGTGATAAAATTCATTATTAATTTTAAAATATTACATGTGTTATAGTTTGCGCCCAGCACCAGCACAGTGCCAGTAGGCCCTGTGCTCAGTACAGTTAGTCTCAGGCCCGTCGCACTGACTTTGGAGGTGGGGCGGCCATGGTTGTTGAGACCAGAGATAGGCTGAGCATGACTGCATGAGGGCAACAAGCCTCACCATCACTATGCTACCATTATGGGTTTTCTTTTGTGTTTGCCGATGATCTGTGATCATAGTAAAGTGGTGATAGTAAAACGGTCTTCAAGTTCAACAAGACGTACATGTACATGTACAATTTTTAGTATAAAATGCAACTACAGTACATGAAGAATGACGCACTAATTTCACTAGCCTACTGAAACGGAAAATGTTGATCCACTTAGGATATTTTCCCTCATCCTTTTTTCAAGTTCTACTTCAGTTTATTCTACATGTACTCTTCTTCTATATAACTGACCAAATCTCTATTGGGCAATTCACAACTTGAACCTTCAGCCTTTACTCCACAGGCTCCGTTTAGTATTTTGCTCATAAAAGAGTAATGTTTCAAAATTCATCGAAAACTTCTACAGAGCTTGCACCACCTCAAGTTAGCATAGGATGACCCCCAAGCTAAGTCAAAATGAGTACGCAGAAATCAACTCTTAAAAGCACACACGGTATTGTGCAGACTCAAAGCAGCGGTGCAGTCCATTTTGAATTGTGCGTGGATTTTTCTTTTCCCGTTTGTGTCTTTCCCTCAAACTAGTGAGGATTTTTATTAATTAATTTATATAATAAAAGTTAAAACCCATTATGTACCAGGTTGTTTGAAACACACCAACGAAATCGAGACTCATAATTCCCACCTGATAGGGAGATTTGGCACCTGGACTGCTATGGTAAAGGCCAAACACGGAACACATGTATCGAATTACTAACCATCTGAGCTATGGGGCCAGGGGTTCTGGTGGGTCTGGCAATTTTTCTTTTCTTTTCAGGCAGTCACTTCCCCGACTAATCCTTTGAATTTGAAGTTCTCCCAATCCTTTCAAAACATGTCAGTCTACTAATTACTATACTCGTGTACGAAAACAATGCTAAAGACACCGCTACGGCGCTACCAACAGATATTACTGACGAACGAGGAATAAATTCATTTTCGAGTACGCATTCTTTTTTTGGCATGCAATGAGAGAGTATGCTGTGTGAATACAGTTACTATACACTGCCACTGGGCTCCAATAGCTGCATAGTCCTACTACAGTACCTCGTGATTGAATTACTTGCTATGCCTGTCGCTCCAACACCGGTCAAGCTTTGGCAAGTCCGACTCAGAAAAGTAGCTCAATTCAACACAGGCCAAGGAATGTCGCAGTACTCCTTGTCAGTTTGGTGCTAGATTGTGCACGTCCCAGTGACTGTTCAAATCTGGTCTACATGTAATTGGTGGATTCTAACGCATACATGCACCTTATGCGCCACTGTTTCCCCGCATGTTTTCAACTTAGCAATATTAACATTTATTTTTTATTTCAATTAGGTAATAGGTATTTGCTTCAGTGCTACAATAATCATAATCAGATGTGGGATAAACGTTTGATGGGCAATAGTCTTGAAGGAATATTGATGGATATCTGCATTGTCAAGGCAACGTGTATGCACATAGTTCTGCTCTTCTAACAGGTAATCAAGAAATGACAAGGATATGGTAACTGTAGTTCTCACCAGCCGTTGGTGGTGCTAGTATTCATCTGTGTCAAGGTGCACTCTATTGGCAATCAGAAATCGGAAGCCTGGAAGGCATGCAGGATGCGACCACCCACAACTTTTATGCTGGCGCGTGGTTGGCATTGCAACTAGAGCAGACCTCCAAGCAAGGTGACTGGGTTGGTGTTGGCGTTTGCGTGCTTCATCATCCTCTGCAGATTTACCAAGGTCTTTTGGATTCCTGCCCGCGAAACAGAGAGGAAGAAGGAGAAACTCGGTGAAACTGGCTGGAGTACATTTCCAGCAACCACTTGGGACATCAATGTAGCAAAACACATTTGGTGATCAGGTTCACTTGCCTACCTGTTGACTTTTGTAAGAAAAACAACCACCCTCACCGTATGGAATAAGACACGTTGTCTGAACAGACTGATAACGGCAAACTGCCTGAAAAAATCACGCCTAACAATTGTTATGACGTCCACCATGGACATACATGTACATTACATGTACCTTTTATACTCCATGTATCTCTGATTTTGATGCATGATTGGAATATCACTAAAAAGTAATGGAGATGTGCTGCGACAGCCTTCAAACACTGGAGATACCACGGCTCAGAATGCTGCTGTGACTTACTTGGACCGTAGTACGTGCAGAAGGCCATTTGCACCGGACGAATCGTGACACCCTTCAGGCAGGCTGAGCGGAGCAGCCGGCACCTGTTGCGATGTAGAATGCCGTCAGAGCCGCAGGTCTGCATAAAAGCGAGATTCAGAACGTGTACACGTTGTACACATTCAAAACATGGTGGTGGGTTTTGCAAGTACAAGCAGCATGTAGCACATCCCCCCCCCCCCCCCGACCAATATGAGAGACTCGCAGATGTGTCGAAAGTACTTCCGGCACAATTCATCTATTCTGTCAAAAGCCACGGTTATTGACAAATTGCCCCATGTGCGAATGCATCAGTGTTCACTGTCACGGAATGTGCATGTATCAGTGTTCACTGCCATGGAATGTGCAAGTGTGAGGTATGCACTTGAGTAGAAAGCATGGCTGTACATTACACACCGGGGTCAGGAACAGATGCACACAATGCTTACCGGGTGGGGGGGGGGGGGGGGGGGTACTTGCTAGCTAGCTATGCCTTACCGTTCGTCTCCGTTTGGGACAGCGCCGGCGGCATCGGCACACGGCACGCTGACCCTTCACCTGACACTCCATGGTGCTCGGACACTGGACGGTAGAACAGCCATGATCGGCTGCGGTGTCCCGCGGGAGAAGCAACATACAGAGAAGATGGTAGTTATGAGCAATACTCAATGGCTCGGAGTTGGTATTTATTCATATTTTACAAGGCTTGACATGCATCCATGCTGCAATTTCACGGTCAAGTCGTTGAAATTTTGGGTCAAAACCTTCATTTCCCATGTAGTAGAAATCAACGTATGGTGTGAAGGGCGCTCACCTGGAATTCGTTTTGAAGCAGGCTTCGTTCGCTTGCACTTTGCGCAACACATATTCGGTCTTTGTATGTACGCGGCGCAGTTTGGCACTGCGGGGCAACTTATGCCCGGGCAGCTCTCGCGACGTGCCAGGCACGGTCTACAGCACTGTCCAGGGAGCGGTGCAGCATACTTGATACAGTCCAACACCGCCGGGCACTCAATGCCGCTGCACCGGTAACGCTCACAGCGCGGGCAGCACTTCCCGCTCGGCACGCTGAGCGCATGCTGGATGCAGCCTGGCTCCAGCTCGCACGGCACCGAGTCCAGGCAGCGGGGATCCGTGCGAACGCACCTCGGGCAGCAGTCCTCGCTGCTCTCGTACTCATAGCGCATACACCCGGACACTGGACGGCATGTTCCCGGCACGCAGTTATTTCTCCAGTAGTGATGTCGGCATGCGGGGCAACACTCGCCAGACGTTTCCTCATACACCGCGCACATTGGATCATGCTGACACTGCTGACGCCCATAGCTGGTGCATTCTACAACAGAAAAGAACATTAGCAGAATGTTGGTAGTTTGTGAAAACACTACGATGTACACACACACACCAAAGATATCACAAAGTACGCACACAATATTAACATATTATGTATACTACATGGATAGAATCATTTCGAACACATGTACATCAAACTGACATGATGCACGTAACATGCAGAACAAATGTCTCTGTTGGATAGGCTAGGGCCAGGAGTTCAGCAGTGCCGTTACTAAGGTACGACAAGCTTGTCGACACAGAGGGCGACGTGCACATTGTCAACAAATCGGGCAGTTACTGCGTTGATGGCCCATGGTGAGATGGTGAAATCATCTGGGCATTGCACCGCAGACCCCATCATATGCAAAGCTGCACATTCTTCTTGCATGTGGGCTGTAGGACCATACAAACGATGTGTCGTGCATTGTTAGTAACACAGGTGAGCATAGCAGCAGCAGCAGCAGCAGCAGCAGTCTGAGTGTAACAGCCCTAGTATTACCTACTACACAGCATACACTGTACACTGTACATGTAACGTACCTTCACATTGTTTTCCTTTGTAAGATGGCGGGCAGTGGCAGTGGTTGGGACCGGCACATGTACCGTTATTCTGACAGGCCACATTGCACACAGCTGTAAAGAGAGCAACAAAATCAGTTTGGTTTACCAAGGGTCAATTGATAGGGCATCATCTCGGAAAGTGGACGGAAAACACTAGTTGGATGATCTTGTGATACTCAATACAATGGAACAGAAGTAATGTAACATAGCTGTCGGTACACAGTGGCATACTAGCTGGTTCATAGGTCCTTCTCTGAGTCTCTGTAGAATTTCCGGGTGGTCAGGGCGAACTTGACTCCCTCATTGCCCTTGGTTGATGAATGGACCCATACCTCAAATCGGAACATAGTTGTAGTGTAAAGCATGCATCGTGTATATACATGTAGGCGGACTCACGATATTCACAGAGGTTGCCAGCATAGCCTGGTGGGCAGCTGCAAGTTCTGCTAGTGACGTTGCAGCGGCCGCCATGCTCGCAGCTAGTCTCCGGACACCTCTCACCGCTGGCTCGTATTTGCAGAGTCTGGAACATGAAACTAGCATCACCTGTGTGTTTGCATGCATGTGTGTAAGGGGGATGGGGGGGGGGGGGGGGGGGGAGAACAGAATTACAGAAAGAACATCACAAAGTGAAATGTGAAGGCCAATTTAATGAAATTACCTGAAGTGTACGACTCGCATCTAACGTTATTACTAGTTATTACAATGCCATATGCATATGGGAAACAAAATGTCAACTGCACGTACAATGCAGCATCCATACTCAAATTACCAGTGCATGCAAGTTGATCGTGGACATCAGTAGAAAAGCTCCACCAAATGGAAGGCCATTGTCATAAAATCCCTCATCACTAGTATAGGTGCAGGGAAGACCTTGAAAAGGAAGTGTTCACTTGTGCATGCCTGACATAGCTTCCTACAGAAGTATGTTTGGTAGACACGCGTTACCAGCCTTGTCAATACAGGTGCAGTGCACGCGGCCATTTGAACTACAATGGAACTCATTTTGTACGTATTCTGATAAGACATGCATACTCTAGCTTAGTATAAACATCGTCTGAAGCACAAAGCACACGGGGGTATTGATATCCCAGACCCTACTGTAGTGTAGATTGGGATAAGAAGTACATGTTCCTGCTGCACACAGCTGGGGCAACATCCCGCACTGTACGTTCACAAAGGGACGTGTTGCCAGTACAGTTGAGACCTGACAAACAGTGACTGCAACGTGAGAATTCTACAATCATACTCTCTGAACATACCACAGTGGAATCAGTGAATTGTGATGGACCGTTGGTACACCAGTGCATTGTGATCAGGATTCTGCAGACTTCGTATCCTTCTAAACTTCTAAATCAAAATAATCCTGTCACCCGCCATCGCCGCTTACCCAGACTAGCAATTGCCAACAGAATAGGAATCACTCGGATTAACAGTGCCATCCTCAGAGTGCAGCGGAGTATGCTTCAACCTGACACGTCGCAGATTTACTCAGCTGTGAGCCGAGAGATCAGGGTGATTCTGTTTCCGAAGAACACATCAAGCACACCAGCAATCCTGCATTGGATACCTTGACCGCACATGAAGCAGAGGGAAGAGGGGAAACTGCTTGGGTCCTGGGCTGCTGATGTTTCCATCACTAGGGGGGAGATACATCTTCTAATACATGTCGTGTGTACATGCTGATCTAAAAGGACTTAGTGTGGCTGGATAGCACATCCATCTCCAGTCTTGATGTTCTAATCAGTTCCCTTGCTGGCCTCAGGGGACTTAGGAGCTGACCAGGTAACACTCCTGCTTGCATATTCACAGCTGCATTGCCCTGGGACCCTACGGGTAAATCAAATTACATGGTCTAAATGTTATAAATACTTTTGGGTGTGTTCTGGTATGACTGAGGCTCAAGATGGCCGCCAAAGACATTTTTATAATGGACGTCAGTTTGCCTTGCGCTCAAAGCCTCAATGGGGACGGCTCGTTTTCCCCCTGATCACTGGTCTGACATTCCATTAGGGATAACATCAACACTATCAATCTCGGTGGACAGGCACGCCGCTTTTCACGCACCAAGCAACGGCCATGTCTAAACGGGGACCCCTAAACAATGTGCCAGGTACATACCTTCAGCCTATGTCGTCACCGACCTTGCAAGAGAAGGGCAATGTCCTCATGTACGCCAACTGAATAAACAGCCCTCAACGAGGAATTTCACCCCTGTCAAACGTTCTTGCTCGTCGACCTCTCCAGCCCCACGGCCTCAGTTTGCTCAAAGGCTCTCGGCTTCTTTCTCTGCTTTCTCTTTCCAGTACAGACAGTACAATGGCTCAGAACCCGCGAAGATGTTCGTAGATGAAACGGCCACCGCAGACGGCTATTGGCCAGAGCTGGCACCCAGCCCGTGGCGAGCACCATTCGCACCATCATTCTCTCGTGCTCAGTGTGTCGCTGGCCAAGTGAGAAACTGGTTTCGCCGTGCTCTAGCCGAAAGGAATATCACCGTCAGAGACATGTTCCCTCCGCTCTGCCTGTGTCACTATGTGTGACGGATTGCGCGGGACAGGAAGTGTTGCCAGAGGGCCAAGGCGAGCCAATCGACGCCACCAGTCACACGATGCAGCTACGGCGTGTGTACCGCAATCGTGTTTCGTCCGCTTTTGTCGACGCGCTTCGTCAGCTTCGACAGGTACATGTACATACCGTACATAGTACGTAGCGGGGCCAGCTACAAACTACTATTAGTAGTATTACTTCTGTTTCTCCTTTCCACTACTAGTCTCCTGTATGCTAGGAAGTGGATGGAGAGACTGGCGTTACCTATCGCACGTGTAATCGTGTTGTAATAGTCGAGTCCATTGTAGTTAGTAGCAGTTCCCCTTAGCTTGTGAAACTAACCATGCCATTGACGCGGTGCAGTAGACTAGTAGGGACGGTGGAGATTAGGTCTACTACAAAAGTGTAGTAGATCTACTCGCAGGCAACTGGTTGCAGTGAGACCAAAGTGAAAGGGCACGTACCGATTTGAAACCGGCTGTCGCGTTCACTTAGAGTCGGCGGGCAATAATTGACAATTCAGCAATCTGTATTTGAGTGCCTGATACAAGGTGTAGCTCGTACATGTATGTTGGAAATACGAGTAGATCTACAGGTAGCAGTATGTAAAAGCATCTGGTACGATCCCTATGCTTACACTACTGTAATCATGGTAATGCAGGAGAGCTGTACTGTCTGTAGCTGAGGTCTACCCTCGGAGTGGAAGAACAGGGGGTCGGTGGGCACAGACAGTGCTCTACAATGTCACATTACGTGTGTCTACGGCGGCGGGTTCTACAAAATTCTATTATTACATGTACACGTACATGTATAATGTACACTCCATCCACAGTACTCAGTAGCATTACTACCATTTTTTTTAATGATAGACTAACAACAAGTACGTCAAGAGTAGATCAACAGTCATGTTTATCTATCTTGCTAACGTAGTGTAGGCTATAGCCTTATAGCCAATTATAGGACGAATGCAACTGAGTATCAGTGGGTTACGCTCCGAGTACTGCCAGGTGCGTAGGAAAGAGAGGGTGGCGGAACCACAGATGACCTCATATTTGCCCGTAGACGCTGCGGTATTGTGCTCTGAGAGGCGTGACATTGGGCTCCTCATGACTGGTGAGCCCCTGAACATGGTCTTATGGGAAGTTATGGACGGTGACAAGCCCCCTTGTCTACCAATGCGTTTCATTGCTAGTTCATCAACACCATTTTCACCATCATTAATTTCTACATGTAAGTATTTCAGGTGCTGCGCGTGGCGGCACTGATCCCGTGGACGAGATTCTCCTACATGTACATACAGTACCAGTACTAACATAGCACTTAGCAGGCATTTACTACAGTACCTTTCCGTGGTGCGAGCCATCACCATTCATCCCCTGTGCTTCATTTTCATCCCATCGATTACCGGTAACGTTATAACGTTATTTCCTTCCTTTACAACCCGCCTGTACAAATCATACGCAACTATGCCACATATAATTATGCACTGTTCCGTCACATTTTTCCTAGATTAGGCCTTTAGGAGTTGTCCTTCTCTCTTCCTGTGAACGACCATCCAGGGTTGCTAGATATCTACCTGACGTGACGGACGAGGCGTGAGTTATTACCTCACGTGCACGAATACGCCGGTCGAGTATTATCTGCTACGTGCATAAGGACTTTTCCTCGGTCACAATTCCTGAACGTTGTGCTGAACAACTGCTCATCAATCCTAGTTTGTTATTCACACGTCACGCGGGGGCCATTGTAGGAATCTTATAATGAGTTTGGGCTCATTAGGGTTGTTGTTGAATTTTTTTGGTATCGCAGACCAAACGGGCAATGGTGCCCAATATTATGATGGGCGATAAAGTAACGGCCGAGAGCCAAGGATACAACAAGCAAGCCTCCACGAAAGAGAGAAAAACACAGACAACACAGACTGCAACTACTCAAAAAGAAAAAGAGAAAGGGAAAAAAAGAAAAAAGAAGAAGAAGAAAGCACAGTTGAGTCACGACTCCAAGTCCAAGCCTAGATGCTGGCTAGCCATAAAAATAATATTATACCTTTAAAAGTCTCTTGAATGATCTATGGCAGGCGAGGGACTTGAACTCTTGGGGCAGGGCGTTCCATAATCTAACAGCAGAAACGAGCGGCCGACAGTCACCAGAGACTCGTCTGGTGGCAGGGACAACATACGCATTTGGATCGTTGATCCGAGTGACGCCTTCAGTCTGGCGACGTAGGCGCTTGGACAGGAGATTACTAATTCTGGCGGTGTGGATACGAAGCATGAGGAGGCGGAGTTTACAGTGGGCGTTTGGATGATGGGGATGAGGCCTAGACGGGTGTAGATGGGATCTGTGTGGGAGAGGAATGGCTGGTTGGCAACGCAGCGGATACATCGCTTGTCGAGGACCGAAAGCTGATGCCGTTGGTGCGCAGAGAGAACCGAGAAGAAGGCATTAGATCCATATAACATGTCCGGTAGTATTAAAGATCTGTAAAATAGCAGGGCTTGTTGCTCAGTTAAGCAGGAGCGAATGGCTCGCAGCGGCGTCAGTTTCTGGGAGGTCTTCCGTGTAATAGTCGCAACTTGAGTCTCCCACCGAAGCTGGGAGTCGAGATGTAGACCTAAATATCGAGCATTTGTGGT